TAATGAGTAAACTTGAAGTCAACTTAAGAGATCTGTCAAGTTATCATAAATTTCATTTTGATAATTTAAACCATTATTGTATAAAATTCCCTGCATATAGCTATTCAAAGTCTTCTAATTTCATATTTGAACTTAAAAAGAACTCAACCATGTATAAATAGATGATTCAAATTTGTTTGTCACACGACCACAATATTTTACCCACTATACCCCCTCTTGTTTGGATTGTGTGACTATCACGAAAAAATTAATTAATTAAATGATCAGAAATAATTTACAAGCACAGTTTATACAATTTTTTATAATAATAATGTTTCAATAATATTTGTATGGGAGCTTTTTTGATAAACCTATTTTCTAAGAGATTTATTCCATCCAACCCATATTCTTTTTGACTATTCCATTAGGTCCAATTTGAGATAAGAAGACCAAAATACCTTTTTCATCTACTTATGTTCCATTTAGTTCACATTATTTTCTTATGTTTCAATAAGTCCTATGGGTGACATAATTACCAAAATACCCTTAATGTGAATGTTCACACCGTCAATATAAATGTTTATATCGTCAATGTGTAGGGGACCGGCCCATATCAATCCTCATGGGTGCCTGGAAAAATTCGAGTCGGGCCGGGCCGGCCCACAAGCCAAAAAAATAGGCCCGACCCGGCCCGTTGATAATATGAATATTCACATTGACAAGTTAACATTCACATTGATAGGAGTGTAAAATTGGCCTGCGGCCCCGTGGGCGGACCCGAAACCAGCCCGTCGCCTGGGGCGGGCCCGGGCCGGCCCCGTTTACAATATGAATATTCACATTGACATATTAACATTAACTTTAACATTGACAAGAGTGTAAAATTGGCCCATGACCCGTGAGCAGCCCGAAGCCCGGGGCCGGGCCCGGGTTGGGGCGGGCCCGGCCTGTTAACAATGTGAATATTTACATTGACATGTTAACATTCACATTGATAGGAGTGTAAAATTAGCCCGCGGCCTGTGGCCGACCCAAACCCGCCTGCAGCTCGTGGGCTGCCTGGGCGGCCCGGCCCGAGCCCGTTGATAATGCAAATATTCACATTGACATGTTAACATTCACATTAATAAGAGTATAAAATTAGTCCGCGGCCCGTGGCTGCCCGAAATAGCCTACGGCTCGTGGCGGCCCGGGCGGGCCCGACCCGGCCTGTTGACAATGTGAATATTCACATTGACATATAACATTCACATTGATAAGAGTGTAAAATTGACTCGCGTCCCATGGGCGGCCCGGCGAGCCCGATCCGGCCCGTTGACAATGTGAATATTCGCATTGACATATTAAACATTCACATTGATAGGAGTGTAAAATTGGCCCGTGGCAAGTGGGCCCGAAGCCCGCCCGTGCCCAGGGCGGGCCCGGCCCGACTCGTTGACAATGTGAATATTTCACATTGACATATTAACATAACATTGATAGAGTGTAAAATTGCCTGTGACCCGTGGGCAGCCGAAGCGCGGCCCCGGGCCGACGCGGGCCCGGCCCTTTGACAACGTGAATATTCACATTGACATGTTAAACATTCACATTGATAAGAGTGTAACATGCCTGTGCCCCTGTGGCTGCCCGAAACACGCCCACGGCCCGTGGGCGGCCCGAGGCGGGCCCGGCCCGGCCTGTTGACAATGTGAATATTTACATTGACATGTTAACATTCACATTGATAAGAGTGTAAAATTGACTCGCGTCCCATGGGCGGCCGAAGCCCGTGGATGGCCCGGGGTGGCCCGGGTTTGGGTCCGGGCCTACCCCGGGCCGTGGGCGAGCTTCGGCAGCGGACAAGTTTTTACACTCCTATTAGGGTATGTTTGATTGGGGGGATAAGGGGGGGGACTATCCACTATTTGGACTCCATGTCCGGCCTCCCTCCTTTATCCGTCGTTTGATTTTTTTTAATCCGGCGGACTCTATTGTCCGGCCGGACTCCATGTCCCCATATGGGGACTATCCTGTCCTGGGGGGGTGCGATTGTTTTGGGGGGACTAATCACTGTTTGGATTAGATGCAGAAAATTGACAATTTTGACCCTCCTATTATTTTTAATTATGTATTATATTTAATAAAATTTAATAAAATTTAAATGTCTCAATTTTAAAAATAAAAATATTTTATTTAACTTTTTATTAATGTTTTATTTATTTAATTTTTTAAAATATTATTTTATAGATATTTTATTGATGTTTTATTTTTAAAATTTTGTTTATGTTTTATTTAATTTCATAATTAAATTTAATAGATGTTTTAATGATGTTTTTATTTAACAATTAAATATTTAATTTCAACAATAAATAATTTCATTTATTTAAATTATGTTTTTATTTAAACATTTAAACATTTGTACATCAACCATTGTTTTTAAATTATTTCAACATCTGTACATCAACATGTATATTTATTTAACATCTATTAAATTTATGTTTTTAATACGTCAACATTTGATTACATCTACATTTGTTAATTGTTAATTAAATAACATTTGTTAATTATTTAAACATAATCTGTACTCAAACATTTATTTAATTGTTAATTGTTTAAAACATAATCTGTACCATCAAAATAATTTCAATGTTAATTGTTTAAATAAAAATTTAAACATTTAACCTTAGATGTTTAATTTCAACAATAAATTTTATTTGTTTAAATAAAAATAATCTGTACCAGTCAATTTTTTATCAATATTAGTATGTTTAAATATCTTTAAACAAAATTTAACCATTAGTATGTTTAATGTTTACTAAATAATTAAAAATATTAAGATATGTTTAATATTGCTATTACTTAGTAAACATTGAAAAAGGGTAAAATAGTCTTTTGTTCATTTATCCTATCCAGTCCGTCCAACCAAACGTTGGATTCACTGAAAATAGTCCTACCAGACATCTAATCTCATGAAAAACAAACACAGGATATATATCCAATCCGACCAAATAGTCCGGGGGATTCACAGTCCCAAGACTCAAGTCCGATGGATTCTAATCCCCCCTTTTCCAGTCCGTCCAATCAAACCACCCTCAATGTTAATGTTAACATGTCAATGTGGAATATTCACATTGTCACGGGTCGGGCCAAGCCCACCTAGGGCTACGATCGGGCTTCGGGCCGCCCACGGGCTGGGGGTCAATTTTACACTCCTGTCAATGTGAATGTTAACATGTCAATGTGAATATTCACATTGCCATGGGCCGGGCCTGCCCTGGCCCGAGGTCGGGCTTCAGGCTGCCCACGGGTCACAGGCTAATTGTACACTTTTATCAATGTGAATGTTAACATGTCAAATGTGAATATCCACATTTGTCAACAGGCCGGGCCGAGCCTGCCCTGGCAGCACCCACGGGCGTGGACGGGTTTCAAGCAACCACGGGGGCGGGCTAATTTTAACACTCCTATCAATGTGCATGTTAACATGTCAATGTGAATATTCACATTGTCACGGGTCGGGCCAAGCCCGCCTCGGCCTGTGGTGGTTTCGGGCCGCCCACGGGCCGCGGGCCAATTTACACTCTTATCAATGTGAATGTTAACATGTCATGTGAATATTCACATTGTCAACGGGTCGGGCCGAGTTGGGCCCGCCCTGGGCTGTTGTCTAGTTTTATTACTCTTTATCAATGTGAATGTTAACATGTCAATGTGAACATTCACATTGTCAACAGGCCGGGCCGGGCGGGCCGGGCCGGGCCCGCCCACGGGCCGTAGGCGGGTTTCGGGCAGCTACGAGGCGCAGGCTTAATTTTACACTCCTATCAATGTGACTATTAACATGTCAATGTGAATATTGACACTGTCAACGGGCCGGGTCGGGCCCGCCCCGGGCTGCGGGCGGGCTTTTGGCCGCCCATGTGCCGTGGCCCAATTTTATACTCTTATCAATGTGAATGTTAATATGTCAATGTGAATATTCACATTGTCAACGGGCAAGATCGGATCCGCCCTGGGCCGCTGGAGGGTTTCACGCCGCCACGGGACGGGTGCCAATTTTGCACTCTTATTAATGTGAATTTTAACATGTCAATGTGAATATTCACATTGTCAACGGGCCAGGCCCGCCTTGGCTCGCGGGCGGGTTTCGGGCAGCCCACAGGCCAATTTACATTCCTACAAATGTGAATTTTAAAATATGAATGTTCACATCATTAAATTGCTAATCGTTGAAAAAATATTTATAAGGGTATCAAAATCCGCCCACGGGCCAATTTACATTCCTACAAATGTGAATTTTAAAATATGAATGTTCACATAATTAAATTGCTAATTGTTGAAAAAATATTTATAAGGGTATCAAAATTAAATATAAGGGCATAAGTGTCCAAGAAAATAGTGTAAATCAAGAAAATGGACTTTAGGAAATAAAACTATACATACATGGGACTAAATGGGTTAAAAAATTCCTTCATGGACTTCTTGGGTTAAAACACTTCTAAATTGGACTTATCAATAAAAATCCCTATTTATAAATTATAAGAACAATAACAAGTATTTTTATTAAGAAACAAAAAAATTGCAAAAAAATCACATCTAATATAAAATTTATGTACAAAAGTCTTATTTATGCATCATTATTCTAAATATGTGCAATTAGTAAATCAAAAAAGGGGAACATAGGTCAAATGGTAGAACTCTGCATCTTAATATCCATTATAATTGTCATTAATTATTATTATTATTTTTTAAAATAATCTAAATAAATATATTTTTTGACTTTTTACGAAAAGATATATATAAAAAAATATAGAAAGATAACGTGAGCCAAATAAATACACATATTTAATTTATGTCAAATAGTGCCTTAACTATGCCCTTGCCTATGAAATCAGACTTAAATCTTTTGATCTATCACATTATTGAAGTAAATTTTATTTTTTATTACATAATGTAGGTTGGTAAGAAAATTTATAATTTTTTTTTCTAAATTTATATAATATTTTTTAAAAAAGGAATTGCAATAAAGAGACCAGCAGTAGAAAACTAGAAATATTAATAATAAATAAAAAAGTTCCATAAACCATATATGATCTCAATATCATCTGCTTCTCTCAACAAATAGGCAGGGCAAAGTCCATAGTAACAAGATATCTTCCAGCCACCATGCAAATCATGCACAGGTGGGGTTCATGTCATCTCCCTTTGGCAACGAGCAAATGGTTTTCAGGAGAGATATGAGATGGGACATACTTGACAAGCTTAGCTTCTTCTAGCTCCTCATGTTCCTTCAACCACATCAACCTCCCCATATCAATGATATCTTTGCACCTAAAGCCAAGCACAGCCCTCTCCACAGCTTTCATATCCCTCAAAACGTCTTCTACTCCTCCAAACGCTTCCTTCCCACAATCTTCCATCCCAACGATTTGTATATCTGATGCACAATTAACACCACCAGAAAGATCTGAACTATGATCTGCATCTACTGCCCAGCTAGTAAACCATGTAATAGCATGGAAATCTTCCTTGCTTATCCCCAGATTCGTTAAATATTTCTTGTCTGCAGAGAATTAGGCCAAGTGAAACAGTCAAGTAGAGAAAACAATAATATTTTACAACTTGCACCAAATAAATATTACATGTATTTGCTAGGGCCAAGGAAACTAGATGAAGAGATTACTTATGTAATGCTTCCACTGGCAAAGGTGATGGCAACATGTTGCTATAGCTAGGCCTCCCAGGTGACAGCCTTCACTGCACTGTGCATCATCACCTCGAGTACGTTGTTGTTCCGCAAGGCAACATCTTAGAGTCATATCTGCAACAAAGTTGCACTTTTGTTGGACAACTGATGTATTCATATAGTTGCGTCGTGCACTGCTGATTAATTTAGATCAACTAGAACAATTACATTGAACATCAAAAGTCAAGGTTTTAAGCACTAGTTAACTGAACCAAAATTTTGATTACCTGTTGCGGGGCCACAGAGGTGTTTACCAATTCCCAAATAACGTATTCCTTGCAAAGACTCAACAGCATTCAAGTTCAAATCCTCAACTGCAAAAGTTAAATGATTCACTGTAAGAGAATAATGAAAAGTACAAAAATTTGCCAGCAGCCTCGCATTATACCAAGGTAAAGGATCCTTTCATCAAGCAAGAACATTAATGAACTATGATGTGAAACTTAAGCAGTGATTCTAAATTCTAATATATGGTATACAAACGGGGAGGCATGTTAGGTGTGGGTATTTGTCTAGGCCTTAGATCCCTTAGACTTGTTTAACCTCCAAATATAGTACTACAGGAGAAAGCTGAATTTCAAAGTGGTTTGGCCTTTTCTCCATACTTTTGTCGAATGAAGTGTCTAGATAACTTAGCTCGTCCTACATGAAAACAACTTCAATCACTTTGAAATACTTGTGAAGTTGAGAGATGGTACCAAAAACTATACCCAAGGTAATTTTCTTGAATATGAGAAATTTTCAATTCTCCTTTCTTCTTTCCAATCCACTGGTTGGGTGTGCATTGCATTCTCAAATGCTTAATTAGGATTATGCTCTCAAAGACAAGTATGGGCAACTAACATTTTTTAAGCTACAATGTATTTTTTGTGATGGTGTCACCAAAAGCTACAACACATTTTTTTTAACATGCTAGATGAAAAGATACAAATTGAGATACTTCATCTATAATGTAACAATTATGGCATGCTTTTAATTAGATTAAAAAAAAATGACATTAAAAGCAAATGAAATCAAATTTTCTAAGTAGAAAGTAGAAACTCATAGTAAATGCAAAATTGAAAATCCTACATGTTATGCCAAAGTTCCATATTCATTGACGTTAATAGTATTTTGACATAACAAACTCCTTCTTCATCTATAATGTCACAATTATGGCATGTTTTTAATTAGATTAAAAAAAATGACATTAAAAGCAAATGAAATCAAATTTTCTAACTAGAAAGTAGAAACTCATAGTAAATGCAAAATTGAAAATCCTACATGTTATGCCAAAGTTCCATATTCATTGACGTTAATAGTATTTTGACACAACAAACTCCTTAATCAAACCTACGAACATTTAGCATAAAAGGGAAGAAAACGAAGAGATGGGTTGGGGGTGGGGACAATCTCATTTAACAAGAACCAATACTATCATCTCATTTTCCCATATTTCTGAAAGGATAGTGCTGAATATCAAGCAAAACCAAAAGCTTGCTCAAAACCTCATCATTCCTCACTAGCACTAATGAACACTACAATAAATTATGGTGGATGTTATCCTACCACATAAAAAGGTATAATATCAAGCAATTTTATCGTACCATTTCCCCATTTATCTTGACAGGAGAGTAGTGGACATCAGACAAAACCCTCAATTAGTAGTAATGGCTTCCAAAAGCTTGCTCAAATCCTCATCACTCCTCACTACCATTTATAGAACATTACATTTAAATAATGCATATTCTCTTAGTAACATCCTTTTAGTGTCTTGATATTGAATAGTCAAAGCCAAACATTCAATGTACATAAGCCTATATGAATGTCGCTCAAGTTTGGCTTCTTTGTCAACCAAAACCAAGGGTAAAGGTCAACGATGCAGTAGAATCCAAGAGGATGCAAATGGCAAGCGAACCTACACTGGCTCAGAATTTCAGAACTAGCGCAAGCCTAGGACAGAAAGTCATTTTCTATGTATGTGTCCACACACACAAAAGTTTATTATTTTTCATATTTGTAATCATTACTTACTATCACATTTGCAATCTATTTTTCAATCAAATTCCGAAAATCAAACTAGGTGTGCTTTTGAAGTTCATTAAATTTCATATTTGTAACCATTACTTTAGCACATTTGTCATCTTTTTTTCAATCAAATTCAGAACATCAAACTAGGAAACCCTTTTTGTGTCCAATAAAATCCCAAATATCAACCAATTTGAAAATGCTTATTCCTTTATCGTCTTACTTTTTTGTTTTTGTTTTTTCTGATAAGCAAAGGTAGTCAGCAAGGGTGCCAACAATGATAGCAACGCATGTATATGCAGAGTATATAGGGGCTAACAAAAAATATGCTCCTAGAAAATCTGAATCTCCAATAAGATCTACAAAAGAAAACAAAGAATCAGAAAACTTCCCTAACATAAATAATTGGAAGACTTCAACATAATCTTCTTCAGGAAATAGTCAGTCATTTCACCTCATCAAGCATACCATCCTATTGCTCCACTTAAGCCAAAGACGCATAACAAACTAAACTAGCCGGCACTTTCGTCCTAGCACATCCTTGGTGCCAACACCCAGGTAACTCGTTACTCAAGAATTGAAGACAGTGTAATCTGCTGGAACCCCAGAACAGTGAAGAACATACTCCAAAGCTCTCTAGCTACCTTACTATTCATGAGTTCTTACAAAAAACAAAAAAATCCAACAACTACTGGCCTTTGTTAAAGTTTCACTGAAAAACCTGATGAAGGCTTCTTTTTATTCCATTGCTCAAGCTCTAGTTTAGGTTGGTGAATGAGTAAATGGTACATCCTTGAGGCACTCCTCAGCTTAGAAACTAGCAAGTAAATGGTACAGACAAACCCACTGCAAAAGACAAAAGTGGCCCCATAATTTCACAATTTTATTGCTTGAATGTAACATCTACCGTTCAAAATTTCAGTGTGCAGTTGTGCAAACTCGTGTGCCATGCACGTTAATGAAGAGGCAAGTGCTTTGTCATAGGCAGTCTTGCATCAGGAAGCAATGCACGTTTTCACCTCATAAAGTGTGTATCCATGCCATAGAAGCATGATAAAGCTAGTGGATTTATTTATTGGGCAAACTTCACTTTACCCCCTTATGGTTTGGCCCATGTGTGGATAACCCCCTTGTCATTTGAAAATGACCATGTAACCTCCATGTGGTTTGTGAATGATGGATAACCCCCTTGTCATTTGAAAATGACCACATAACCTCCATTGGGTTTGTAGACCAAAGTAAACACTAACATTTGTTAACAGAACATGTGAAATGACATTTATATCCTTATGTTCTTCATTTTCTGAATTGAACCTAGATAGGTGTACAGATGGCAATTTGAACCCGGCCCGACGGGGACCCGATCCCCCGACCCCGAATTGAACGGTTTTTCTCCGAAAAATACCTCCGACGGGCCGGGGATGGTATTTAAAAATAAATCCCCGATGATATTCGGGCCGGGGCCGGGGATATATTTTCTAACCCCGGCCCCGTCCCCGCCCCGTTCTGCCCCCCGACCTTGTTTGTATGCATATATATATAAATATAAGTGAGTGATGCGTGTTTGTTTATATATATATAAATATAAGTGAGTGCTGTGCTGTGTGTGTGTTCATATATATATATAAATATGTGTTATGTGTGAATATAGCTGGCCTGTCTCTGTGTTCATATATATAAATATATATGCGTGTTGTGGGCCTACCTCTCTCTCTCTCACTCTCACACAGACAACCGAAGCTCCCTCACCGCCGGCTCCTCCTCATCTCCCTCTCACGGTATCTCCCTCTCTCTCTCTCTCAGATCTCCTTCTCTCTCTCTCTCTCTCTCTCACGGATCTCCTTCTCTCTCTCTCCCCCTCTTGTTTTTTGCTTTTGTTCTTCAGATCTGGAATATGATGGAGATAAAGATGAAGATGTTGATGATGAAGATCGTTTTCTAAAGCTGTTTTTTTTTTTTTTTTTTTTTTTTGAGCTCAGATGTTGTTGATGATTTTTTTGATGCTGTTGATGTTGTATTTGAGCTCAAATAACTCGTTTTCTGTTGATATTTTTTTGGCCGGGGATTTTCGGGGTCGGGAAAACCCGATCCCCGTTAGGGGCAGGGGTGGGGGCGGGGGGGGGGGCGGTTTGCTAACACTACTCAGCAGCTTGTGTGGCTTTGTTGGCTTCTTTCTGACATGTGTGTCTCTCATTCTGCTGTCACCAATCTTTATTTTAACAATCAGAGTGCTATTCAGATTGCACATAACGATGTCTTCCATGATCGCACCAAGCACATTGAGATTGATGGCCACTTCATACGACAGCATGTTACTAGTGGCCATGTTCGTCTTCTCTGTGTTACCTCTGCTGATCAGACAACCAACCTCTTCACCAAAGCTCATCCTCCAAGATGCTTCTCTGATCTCCTCTCCAAGCTCAAGTTGATCTCTGACTTATCACCTTGAGCTTGAGGCCGGGTGTTAGATGTATATTATTATTTTATACTTATCTATCTGTATTATAGATGTATCTCATCTTCTTTTCTATACTTATCTCTGATGTATCTCAGCTTATAAATACAGGCTTCTTGTATTTCATTATTCAATTCAATATACAGTTTCTCTCTTCTCTCTCTACTTTCATATATACTAAAGATTATAACTTTCTATCTTTTTTTTGGGGGGGGTGGGGGGTCTATTTGGATCTTTGGTTCTCATAAAAATGGGGAATTTTTGGTCCGTTTAAATCTCATATAAATAGTGAGTTTGGGATTTTTGGTCTGTTTAGATATTTAATTTTATGGTGGTGGGTTTGATTTCTTTGTTCAATTTTTGTTTATGATTGGTGGGTTTGATTACCTTTCTTCTTACTCCCAATTGTTTGGGTCTCCTTCTCTCGTTCATTAGCCATTGCCATTGTTGCAAGTTCTGTTAAAAGAGAGAAGAGGAAGTTGAAAAGAAGAAGAGAAAGGTGTAGAGAGAGAACCAATAGAAAAATGGAGAAAATGGCATTTTATGTAAATTCGAAGATATAGAGAGGATATTTTCATCTTTAAAATTGATCTACTCTCTCCAGGGGCATGTGACTCTTACATTCTGTCATCTTTAATGGAGAATTAATAGTGCATTTTAGTCCACAAACCATGTGAGGGTTATGTGGTCATTTCCAAATATTAGGGGATAAACTGCACATGGCCTAAATCACAGGTGTGTAAAGTCAAGTTTGCCCTTATTTATTTTGCATATCACATTATCTATCAGGAGCATCCATGCACAGTGCATTCTTAATTAATTTGATACCGTAGAAAAACTGAAAAAAATATTCATTATACTTGATCAACCATCTGTCCTCATTCAATTTATTGAAAATAGATCATAAAAAATTAATGGTCATGAAAAAGATCAATTTAGAAGCAAAAAAAATTCCATAACAACAGGATTATGAAGAGCCTTACTGTCAATTCTCAAACGTTCTAATATCAACCTCTCTTTCTGCCGCAAACTTCGATCGGCCTTGAAGTGAATTTTCATGACAACAAAAAGCAAATAAGGTTTCGATCAATCTAAGTGAAGCTTAAAACTTGCATCAATCAAGTGCTCCAATACTCAGCCTCATGTTTTAACTTACTAAAAGTGTATACAAGTGAAGTTGAGTTCAGCAAATCAATGAGTAAGTAAACCTTTTAGTTCAATCAAATCAACTAACCTTAAGCTTGTATGACTTTCTCTCAACCAGAAAGACTTTCTTGATTCCATAACAGTCTGCGAGCAATTGTGTCAAGTAACCCCTCCCGGCTCCAAACTCAACCACTGCAGGGACAGTAGTGTCATCACCAAACGACTCATCACATAAGTAATGATCCCTTAATATGTCCCCACCGGAATTCCTTAACACCCCAATTTCTTCAAGGTTGCCAAGAATCGATGCCTGTTGCATAACGTGTTTCTCCTGAAATGGTAATTTCCTGCACGTATAACAATTCCTTTTTACCAACAAGCAATCCCAGTACGAACAAATATATTTATTTTTGAATGGGTGTGTGTGTTTGCATACCCATCAACTTGTTGATTAATCCATACAGAACAAGCTTTCGGTATCTTGTACGAGTGTTGAATATCTCTACATATGGATGCATGAACAGACTGAATTTTACTGATTATTTCGGAGAGTTGAGTAGCAGTCATAGTATATACAGCATTCCTCTTCATTTCGGAAGTGGTGATACCCCCCAATGGCCCAGAAGAAGAAGAAGAAAGGTCATTCAAAGGGGTACAATCTTTGACCCCCATGGGTCTGAATAATATCTCCTCCTTTTCTTCTTCTTCTTCTTCTTCTTCTTCTTCTTCTTCGTCTGTGCCAGCATTGGTGCCCATTTGGTAGAAAGGTTGGGTAGACAAGGACTGAACATGTTTCAGTAATGGGCATCTTCTAAGATGTCCTTGGAGATTTTCTTCAAGAACAGTGCTAGCAAAACAGATAATTGGAGTTAAAAAGAAAGAAAGAAGAAAAAAAAAAAATTAGTGATATGGAATGGACATTATGGGTAGTAGCAGCAGCAAGATAAGAAAATTGAAAGGAAAAAAAAAAGAAAAAGGAAAAAGGGGGTGAAGAAGAGATTACTGAGAAGGGTCGATTGGGCACGCAATCCACTGGGAATCAGATCTTGAGGTGTGGTTACCGCAGAACCTAAGCCGTAAGTTTACAAATCAAGGATCATCGTCGTCGTCATCATCATCATCATCAGTGATTGAACCAAAGAAGAAAGAAAGAAAGAAAGAAAGAAGGAGAGAGCTTTATCATACATACAAGGTATTGGTGAGAGGAACGTTTGCACAGAATCTGTTCTTCTTGGGGAGCCAGAACTTGCACCGACTACTTTCCATTAATATTTCTGCGACTGACTCGACAAACCAAAATCACGCCGTCCTAAATCCTTTCTTCTCCATCTGCCACCCAACCCAGACAAACTCCCTAAAACTAACTTCCTTCTTCATCAACGCGTTTAGTTTAGGTTTAAAGCCCACTTTGGTGGCATCCATATTCATTTGCGTATTTCGGCCCAACTTTTACTTCGATAGCCTACTTTTTATCTCTTTTTTGTTTTATTAGAAAATTTCAAAAAATATAAATAAATAAATGCATAAATAAAATTTGAGCCTTATAAAAATTAATTCCTAAATTTTTAATATTTCAAATTAAATCCTATAATTTTAAAATAAAACTAATTTTTTTTGTTATCATTCGTCTATTTACATTGAAATGTATTAATTTTAATTATTTATATATTTACTTGACATATGTAAAATCCAATTATTAAAGCGTACCATTTCTCATTTCTTATTTTGTTCTCCTCAGACAATCGGTCAATAATTGACGCCACACCCTTGTTCTTCTGTTTCTTGTACAATCGCACACAACAAATCGTTGCATGTTTGTCGCAACGCCTGACTTCGGCTTCCTTCCCACCGCCCATAGCAATTCTTAGCCTCTATAGCTCCACCTTATTAATTGCCATTCTCCGCTCATCCCAAATCCTTATCTAGATGATGTATCTACTATACTTTTTAGAATTTAATTTCGAGAACAAGTGAGTGTTTAAATAAAAAAATATTAGACATTCTAAAAGTTTTACCAAATTGTATACCAAATACTTACAAGTGTATGAGACTCACACGTGTAGACTCCCTACCTTTGTGAGTGTTTGGTAACAAAATTTGGTAAAACTTCTGAAATTCCTAGCATTACTCATTTAAATATTACTAAATGATTTCATGGATTTTATACAAAGTGTGACGACCCAGAATTTTTCCCTCCGCTCGAGCGGAAGAGTTTACGCTTGAGCGGACTTTTGAGGTTCTCAGCAATTTTGCAGACGGCCTGAGATTCTGGGAGTTGTGAATCTCCGCTCGAGCGAAGAAGTTGACGCTCGAGCGGACTGCTTTATTGGTCTGTGCGCGCTCGAGCGGTTGAAGCGACGCTTATATATTTTTTTCTTAACTTGTTTTTTTGTTAAGGATTTATTGTATTGTTCACAACAAGTAATTATTTGATACTTTGATAATACTATCTGGTATTATTTATGTAATAGTTTAACCCAATAGTATAGCGAAAAATCTTATAAATTGGATATAATGAACTTATTATTTTGAAGCAATTGACAGACTGCTTAGTGTGATTTGTGATTTCTCATGCTTTGAGCATCACGTAGGCAATGTTATATAGTATTCTAAAACTGTTTAATAATTTTCATTCGAAATACATCATTTATAAGCAATGTCATCTCTTTAATATTTTTCTATCAAATAAAAATTAAATATGTTTTATAATAATTTGTGCTATAAACGATATGTTTTTATTTTCTAAAATTAAGAATTTTGATCCACAATTTTGTGTTAGAATTACAAACTTACATCACCATCGAGCTATTCTACACTATTTTAGAATTTTAATTTGTTCCTATTAATAATGAATATGTAATTTTTTATGCTTAAATTTAGCTCATAAAATTATTATTATCTTAATGTTCATCGTGATTTTTTTAAAATAAAAAATTATAATTAATAGTGCCACTTCTAATTCAATTTCCTAACTTCGCCATTGAAAGTGAGTAATATATTATTTTAGATGAATTTAATTTTTGTTTTTGGTGCTTTTGCACCCTTAACAAAATAAATATATACACTCCCTATGACAATAAATTAAAGCAAACTTAAGGAGGCAAAAGCACTTGGTTACAGAAAACAGAAGGCCATTAATTTCATTTTAATGAAATTCAGTTGTCTACCTAAAGGAGGATAATAAAAAAAGATGCACAAAATAAAATTGGCAAAGCCAATAGCATAATTCCATAAGACAGTAGTAGATATCCACATCCACATCCACATCCACATAATAATGATTAAGCGCGCAAGCAAATCAGTCCCAAATTGTTTACTCCCAACAACCTTCTTAAACTCTTCTTAAAATTCATATGCATGCAACCTTCTCAAACTCCAACACAACCACCTGAAAAATAACAGAAAAATGGTTATTAATGTACGAATAAAACCCCCCAAAATAAAATAAAATAAAATAAAATAAAGAAACTCACCCACGGGTTGTCAGATTATTCCATCAAAGTTAGCAGATTACACAACAAAACTCAAATGTGAAGGGCTTGAGACCCAAATTGATCTCACTTAATTCCTTCATGAATTTGCTGTGATATTCTTCCATCAAAGTCGGCGAACTGCACGATGAAACTCAAATGTGCAGGGCCTGAGACCCAAATTGATCTCCCCTATTTTCCCAAGCCCTCCCTATCCTTTTTCCTTCTCCCACCGATGACCAACCAATTTTAACAAATCAAGTTTATCCCAACAAACTTCTCTTGAGATGATAAGAAGTGTGTTGGATAGTGAAGACAATTTGGAGCTATGGTGGACATTTTGAATCTCAATTTGAAGCAGTGGCCACTAATGTGATGGCTGAAGCATTAATTGGTTTTCAACTTAAGTTTGAATGTTATCTCCACAGTAGCGACTGCATAACTTCATTTTTAGCAAATCCATTTTCAAAATAAATACAGATTTAAAGTACCAATGTTGATGCCCAAAAAAAAAAAAAAAAATGCAATTCCAATTGAATCCATTGTTTCAAATTAGGCCTTCTTATGAATATGAGCAAAGCCTGAAGCATTAATTGGTTTTCAACTTATGTTTGAATGTTATCTCCACAGTAGTGACTGCATAACTTCATTTTTAGCAAGTCCATTTTCAAAATAAATACAGATTTAAAGTACCAATGTTGATGGGAAAAAAAAAAAAAAAATGCAATTCCAATTGAATCCATTGTTTCAAATTAGGCCTTCTTATGAATATGAGCAAAGCAAAGGCAACTCATAGAGGAGGATCAAAATCTATTTTCTAGTTGAAGCTATGTGTTGGCAACAATGGGCTAAAGTCTATAATAGCCTTTTACATCTAGAGCTAGCTGGGGTCCTCTCCAATTATCATAAGAAACATTATTTTTCTCACAAACATTGTACAAATCAAATTTTCAGTCATTATCCTTTTATTTAGTTATTTATTGAAGCAAACCAATTGTCCCTAACCAAAGTGTCCTATCTCAAATAGCATCTCCTCCCATCGAAGATATACAGGTAAGGTTGTGAGTTTAACACCCACTGGGTGTATAACTTAGTAATCAAAAACAATTCTACCATTTATTTACAATAGTATCAGAATGTTCAAAACTAGGATTTGGCTCCTCCTAAATTAGCGAAGGCAGAAACAAAGAAGACAAGTTTTGACCCACAAAAAGAGGAGGAATTAGTTATTGCTAGAATGTGTCCAAACATCTCAGACACACATACAAATAAAGGTATACAGGTGCGGCAAGGCACCACGTGTAGTGCCTTAAGTTAAGACTAATAATGCAAGGCAACGTTATTAAGGAGCTTGCTTTTGATGTGCAGTAAATGACCTCAATTGAGACAACATGCAATAGAAATGACTGCCAAAAGGGCCTAGAAACTTGTGCACTTACTTGAATGATCCTCAATTTAAGCATTCCCTTAACAAAATAACCAAGGCCCTCCCTCCCTCACTCCCTCTCATTTAATTTTCTTCAGATCTGAAGCTCTGTTCTTATTTCTTCGTTCTTGAAACTATGTTTCATTGATTGTTGATTTCATTCATGCTCCAACATGCATCATCAAGTACATTTATAAAAGGTATCCTCACATGTACTTTTAACAATTGATTTGATTCTCACACATCATTAAACCAACAGTATAGAAAGTAATAGTCAAAATATAATAACAAACATTATTATCAGTTCAATAATTGAAATCAAGCTTTCATATCATGAAACAAACATGCTAACCGTGGCAAAGCTGATCTTTCCAGAACCATTCTTTATCACGACTGCCTAAACCTTCTTGAAAGAAGAAGAAATAAAACTCAAAATTAGATAAATATCTATAGACAATCAAATACACTCCATTTGTTTTTAAGAAAAATATTTTCCTAAAAAAAAAAGAAGTTTTTGCTGAAAATGTTTCCTGAAAAATATTTTCTGTAAAAAATGTTTTGTTTGTTTAACAAATGATTAAACAAACAAATGATTTTATTTTAGAAGACGGAACGATGAACAAAGGATTAAATTAATTTCATCAGTTGAAGTTGGGTTGCTGTTCGTCACTGATTTTATTTTGTTTCGTTTTGAAAGATAGCTGATGAGTACTTCAAGAGAGCAATTAAGGTGGAGCTGCCGAATGCATAGGTGTTGAGTGCTAAGGAGATGGTGGCGGTGGTGGCGGTGGTGGTGGCCTAGTGTTGTGTAGGGGTAGTGACGATGGTAGTGGGATTGGCAAGATACAAGTGTGAAAAATGTTTCCGACATTTAAAAAATTGAAAACATTTTTTTGTTGAATTTTGTATTTTCTGTCATATGAAACGTCATAAAATGTAGAAAAAAAATTTGGCAAAACAAATGGAGGTTCGATACTAAGCTTTCAAACAAACATCTAAACAAATAAATACAGTAAATGAAATAGCAGCCAATATTGTGCAAGCTAAAGAAAAACGATGATTCAACAATCACCGGCATATTTTATAATTCCTAATCAAATGAACTTACTAACTAACTAACAAACTAACTAACTAACTAAGGAGTTATTTGTTATCTCAGTCAGCACAGTTTAAGGGGTGGAAGCAATTGGGAAGAAGAAAATGCATCTGGCTTACCTCCTTCTTGTTCATCCTGAGAAGGTTTGAGCCTAAAAGATAATACTGACAGCTCACAATCTAGCCCCATTAGTACCAGAGCTTGATATGTCTTAATATTGCCTCCATCGGCAAGATCCTTGGCATTGAAGGTCATATAAAACTTGAATCCCCTGGAAGGCTGAGCCATTGCCATCAAAACCTTCACAAACTCCAACTCTCTTTTTACGTCCTACAAACAAATCAAAATCAAAATCAAAATCAAAATCACAATCATAATTTATGTTGTTGTCCTGTCCTGATGAATAATACTTACTGCTATTATATTATATATAGAGAACTTGAAATAAAATAATCAATTAAATGACTGTAATGTAATGTTTCAGCAAAAACATATTAAAAAAAAAAACCTTGAAGCGACGGTTGTATTCGTCAACTGCAAGCTGCGAATACGATTCGTAATTTTTGGAGTTTTGGTTTATGTCCATTGGATGAATTTGATGGAACTCATTGACGCCAGGTATGCAGGCTACATCAAACCCCTAAAATAACAAACAAGAAAAAAACACAAAAACGAATACATAAATATAAATAAGCAAGCAAGCAAGCAAAAAGAAGTACTAGTACTTTTGATGCAAACAGGGAACATAGAGATATTAGGCCATTTTTAACGGTGGATCAAATCCAGCATCATTAGATTTAAAATTTGATAAAAAAATCAATGTTTGTGTCGGTAATGGTTTTATCAAATTGATATCAAAATGAGAACAGGACAAAACTTTTATCAAATTGAAAACAAGCTCGCGATTTCAGTATTTTACTGTGCTAAAACGTTGGGATGGGCCAATCGGTCAACCAACCGGATGTCCAGTCAATTGACCCACCAGTCGACCGGTCCCCGTTCAAATAGATAGGTTCAAATAGGTTGAAAAAAAAAATTCTTCTCTTACTGGTCGATCCTTTCCTTTTGGTGCATCGTTGGAGCAAATCATATCAAATTAAAAAAATCAACTATTTTTATTCAAATTTGATGAAAAAAAATAGGAAAATGCTCCGTAACCAGTAAGAGAATCAAAAAACATTCTAAAAAGACGTCGTTTTGGGATTTCGAATCACTCAAACCACGAAAAATTTGAACTACAAATCAGAACCGAAAAAAATAATGAACCGCTAGGGATGTAAACGTAATTTTTTACTTACGTGGCTCTTCGAAACTTGATCCGAATAGACCCGGCGTTCATCATCGGTCATATCACGGTCATCATCATAATCATCACCATCATGTGTATCAGACCGTGGTGCAGGTGGAGGAATACACATTAGTTCTTCGTCATACCCGAACAATTTAAAAAGACTATAATCATCGTCGTCGTCATCATCATCATTATCAATATAATCATCAGATGTATCCGGCAATGATGATAGGTAAGTCAGAAAATCTGTTTCTATATCCATCGATCTTCAAGCAACCAACAAGAGAGAGAAATATTATTAAAAAAAAGATGCAGCGGGTATGGGAATTCAGATAGGGAGGGAATACGCAGAGAAATATCTATAAGGACACAAATGAATTATATTAGCGTAGGATTCGCACAAATTATATATGTGTTATGTAAAAAATTTGATAAAATATTTGATAATTTTGTATAATATTTCCTATCTATAAATAGAGAAGGATCACGCTTGCAAATGCCTAGGGCACAATTAAAAAAAAAACAAAAAGAGTAAATATAAATACACCTAATATTTATTTAAAATATAAATTATATCCCTATAATTATGGAGAATGAGATGACAATGAAAATAGGGTGCTGCTTCATACACCCAGTGGGGGTCGCGCCTCCAGTGACGTGGCGCGCCCCCACTGGCTGAAAACTTAAAAAAAAAAAAAAAAAAAAAAATTTTTTTTTGGGGCCAATCATGGGTCTACACGCACGACCCCCAGTAACCCCCACGGGGTCTTAGGCATTTTTCATAAAAAAATTATATATATTTTTTATACATAATAATATGATTCATTATGAATCTTTCATTTCAAAAAATTTATACATAATTTTCATGCAAAATTAGGGAAAATCACAAAAAAAAATAATCTTCGGGTTTATCCTTTTATCAAATTAAATTTTGTGTTTTTAATTTAATCAATTTAAATCCTAGATTTTTTCTTTATTTTCAATCTAAATTATTTTCTCATTTTCATACGTAAAATCAACAGAAAAAAATGATATTTTAATCGTTAAACTCAATGAAAAATAATTTTTTAGACATTTTATGTATACTTACATTGAATTTAATAACTAAAATATTTTTTCTTGTCAATTTTACTTAACAAAAATAAGCAAATGGTATAAATTAAAAGTAAATCAAAATATTGGAATTTAAATTGACAAAATGAAAAAAAAAACTTAGGATATATTTTGAAACAAGTCCTGTATCCTTGTTTTTTTTGTGTGTTTGGGTTGGGGGGGGGGGTGGGGGGGGGGGTAATTGTCCATAAAAATTATAAATATTTTTTTTATTGGAATTTTTAATTAACATAAAAGATAAAATTTTTAACTATTCTCTTATGCAACAACAAATTACCTAAATTGTTAATATTGAATGGGGAATTTTTGTCCTTACCCCCCTCTTAGTCTTTTTAATATATCGAGAAATATTTTGCACGTACTATCTGCAAACATATGCCGTCCTAAAAGGCGCACGACCACGGTAACAACATTTATATCTATTTACTGTCGGTGTCCTTGACCTCCGATAAGCAATGAAGGTCCGATACTGGCTACTTCCTACTCCTTCAATTTTTAATAAAACACTCTAATTCTTTCATTCCAGCACTTCTACAAATTCTGCTACCTCTACTAACCCTTATGTCCAGACACCTTAGCTTTTGATCTCTGATAGGTTTCGGATGTTAAAGAAAATGAGATTCAAGCTCGCCAGTGGCAAGGACAAAGAGTATGTTCGTCATGGAATAGAGGTTGGGGATCGGTTCTTTCCAGTTGATGTTTGGACGGACTACAAAGATACGCTGTTGGGAAATGTTGGAAGTATTCAGAACGGTGCGATATATTTAGTGGCTGTAACTGTTAGTGGAAAAGAATGCAAAATTACGTTCAGGAGTCAAATGTACTTTAAAATTGTTGAAATTTGTATTTTTATGTATTTTTATTTGTAATGTTCAAGTCGATGGAGGTGGACGATATAAAAACTGATGTTATAGAGGGTGTGTTAGTAATGGGCGCCCATGTGGCATGACCATTTGAATTTGAACCTTATCCAAATAGGTTTTGAAATTGAATTCAAACCTATTTAGGATAACCACTCAGGATACAGATATTATCTCCATTAACTGATATGGATAGATAATAATAACATATTATATATCTGGAATATGGGTTATGCGTGATTAAGAGAGAAACAACGTATGATCTATTTTTACCCATATATTGACTTTCTCCCAAAAACAACGATCAAGTCATTTGCACTGTGATTTGTGTGGCTGATATTCAATCTGTAATATCACTTCACTGCTGGGTTGGTTTATCAGACTCTGGAAGCACGTGATTTATCCACGAAGTTCTATCATCTAAAGGTATGATCTAAACATTTTATCCGCTGCATGTTTTATACTTTGATTTACATTGGTATCAGAGCGTAGTTAATGGATATTTTCGTGTTTCCTTTAATCATGTGTATATTTTTATATGTATATGTATACATTATATACATGAATATTTGTAAAGGAGAAAAAAATCTACTTTTATCAGATTAAGAGCATAAATATATTTTTTTATGTTCATTAATATCTTTTTTCATACCATAAATGTTTTTTTCTGAAAAAAGGAGTCCGGCAGTACAAAAATCGGACCAGAAAACACCCTGGAAGGCGGCATGTGGTCTGCACGCGCCACCTGACGCCGTGAGCCATTTCCACGCGCTCCTACGCGCCAGATGCCCTGCCGACGCGCCTGTACGCGCCCTCACGCGTGCGTCAGCGGCGCTGTCCACGCGCGCGCCCTCCGCGCCACGCATGCGTGTTGCGCGCCGGTGCTCATGAGCGCGCATGGCTGAGCCGCGCGCCTGAGCCGCGTGCTTGAGCCCGCCACGCCGTTTTCCCTCCGCCGGCTTCGGCCTGGCTTGGCTGCTGGGATGTATTAGGCACGTTTGTTTTGTTTTTAATTCTGATCGCGTTAAATGATCATAATTAATTCATTACATATTTTGTTTATGTGTGGCTTGTACTGTTAGATACTCAGAATTTAATTTTCTACATTCTGTAAAATTTTGAAAATTTTCAGAAAATATAAAATTATTTTTTTCTGTGTTAATAATTCATGTTTTATCTTTAAAATTGCTTCTGTGTAATTGACACTAAAATAATTTTCCTGGGGTTGAAATAATTTTATTGTAGACTTCTGAAAGGTTTTATTATTTACTGGTAATCATTGTCTCATTTTAATTCAGTTTCCTGGATTTTTTTATTCTATTTTATGTGTAATTTAATTAGTCATTTAGAAATTCCAGAATATTTCAGAAAAATTTCAGAATATTTCAGAATGATGTACATTTTAATTATGGCAGATAAATCTGAATATTGTTCTGTTTATTGCAGTTTCCTAGATGAATTTATGTATTTGCTAATTTTCTGTGTGATTGATAATAGTTGTAAGTGAGGAGAAAAATTTCAAAAATGAATGTACATAGCATTTAATTATGGCAATAACTCTGAATATTGAATACACATATTTTTTGGATTTTTAATATGTTGCAATGAAAGAAGCATGATAATTCGCATACAATAGCATCTGAATGAAATTTACAAACACATCATGCTATATTAAAGTTTTTCATGGGGATTGGAAAATGCCAAATTCAGAGAAATTAAATACTCATCTTCTTTCATGAACATATTAAAAATCCAAAAAATATGTTGTATTCAATATTCAGGATTATGCATAATTAAAGTGTACATCATTTTTGAAATTTTCTGGAATTTTAACATAACTAATAACACACAGTAAAATTAGCAGAATAAAAAATCAAGAAAGCTGATAAACAGGATAAAATAATTCCGATGTATGCATAATTAAAATGTTAACATCATTCTGAAATTATTCTGAAAATTTTTCTAAAATATTCTGGAATTTTAAAATGACTAATAAATACACATACAACAGATTAGAAATAAAAAAATCCAAGAAACTGATAAATGAGACAATATTGAGGTCAGAACGGTAAAAACTTTCACGAAAGGTCTACAATGAATATTTCACCCGAGAAAAATATTTAGCATCCAAGAAGCATTTTAAAGCATAAAACATGATGAATTGATTAACAGCTAGAAAAAATACTTTATATTATTTGAAAATTTTCAAAATTTTTACAGAATGTAGAAAAATTAATTTCTGAGTCTACAGTACCAAGCCACACATAAAACATATGTAATGAATTAAATTATGATCACATTTTAAGCGATTCAAAATTAAAAACAAAACAAACATGCCTATACATCAGCAGCCAAGCCAGCCGATGCCGCGAGGAGAAACGGCGCGGCTCAAGCACGCGGCTCGGGGCGCGGCTCAGCCTGCGGCTCAGAGCACGGCGCATGCGTGGCGCGGAGGGCGCGCGCGTGACAGCGCCGCTGACTGCAGCGTTGAGGGCGCGTAAACAGGCGCGTCGGCAGGGACATGCTGGCGCGTAGAGCGCGTGGAAATGGCCAACGGCGTCAGGTGGCGCGTGCAGACACATGCGCGCTTCCAGGTGTTTTCTGGTCCGATTTTTGTACTCCGACTCCTTTTTTCAGAAAAAAAAACATTTATGGTTGAAAAAGATATTAATGAACATAAAAAAATATATTTATGCTCTTAATCTGATAAAGTAGTTTTTTTCTCCTTTAACAAATATTCATGTATATAATGTATACATTACATATAAATATACAACATGATTAAGGAAACAACGAAAATATGCCATTAACCTCGCTCTGATACATGCTAAATCAAAGTATAAAACATGG